GTCTTCAAAATCTACAACGTAGTAATCATGTGCTATATGAAGTTATGAACTCTACGCCAAGCTCCACAACCTCCACCACAGTGGGACCCCCAGTGACTATAACTATAGACAAGTCTATCCTCATCACAGTGATTCTTATTCTGAGAGTGACAATTCTCACTGTGAGTTCATTCCTTGATTCTGCCTCTGGTGCATCTAAACATGCCCTAAACTTTTACATGTTGCATGTAGGTCTAACCTCAAGTCGTGAAATAAGTTAACAGACTCAATAAGTTTAAGCATGAATTCATTGTTCTATTGGTTTATGATGCTTTCCCTAACCATGTAACATATACTAACCTAACTTAAAGCTCTAATACCAGATCTAACAGGGGTCAAGTGACCTAGAGGTGAGTAATGCAACGATGAATCAATCAAGCACGAGGATTCAAATCCCAAACAAACCACATGCATACAATTAAATGAAAATGAAAACCCTAGGGCTAATTTCTCCTATGATGTATAATGCAACCTAGAAGAAACAAATCTCATGCAAATAAGATGTAAGCCAGAAGGCCCAGAACATCATCGAACCAAATTGATAACAAGTATGAGAAGTGTTTGTTGGAAATTTGTAGTAAAAGAAATAATGAAAGAAAAATTTGACTTGTATTCCTCTCAAAATCAATTACAATTTGGATTCCGATTACAAAAGAGAGGAGAATGAATTTGATTCTCCCCTTTGTTTAATTCTGGGTTCTTCACGGTGGCGATGAGATGCCTCCCTCGAATGCTCGCGTCGAGTTTGGTTCTCGTTGACGATCCGAACGTCTTGATTCACTGGAACGATGTCTTCTCCTCACGATTTGACGCTGTGGAGAACTTGCGTGGCAAGTTTCGAAATAACTTTTGACGAGTTGATAACTCTGAACGAGTTTTAGAAGAACTCGTAGAGTAAGTTTTGAACTCTGATTGAGTTGATAACTCTGACGAGTTTTAGAAGAACTTGCAGAGCAAGTTTTGAACTCTGATCGAGTTGATAACTCTGAACGAGTTTGAACTCTTGAAAAAGAGTTGATTTGAACCGAAAGTTCGGTTAATAAGCCAAGGAAGAAGCTCATGTTGCTGGTCTCCAAAACTCCTTGTTGCTGCAGAACGCGGCAAGATGCTCGATCAAGGATCCCCAAAAAGTCAGCTCCCCCTCTAAAAAAAGAGGATCCGAACTCAGTTGAGTTTTGAGGTATTTATAGGGGGTTAAGGGTATAACCGCCCCCTTAAATATCTCCTTAATGAGGGTTTAATGGGGTCTAACTGCTCCCCATAAATCTCTCCATGATAGGGTAGTGATCCCCTAAAATCTTGGGGAGAAAACGGTTCTGGAACCGTTCAAATCGTGCTTGAACGAGTTAAACGCTGAAAACAGCGTTCTGGGCTCGAACTGTGCGTTTCTGGACCTGAAACGCACAGTTGAGGTTGAAAAACGCACAGCTGGGGCTGAAAACGCACAGCTGGAGCTGAAAAACGCACAGCTGGGCTGAAAACGCACAGTTGAGGCTGAAAACGCACAGCTGAGGCTGAAAACGCACAGCTGAGGCTGAAAACGCACAGCTGAGGCTGAAAACGCACAGCTGGGCCTGTAAACGCACAGTTGGCCTGTTTCAGGCTAAAAACGCACAGTTGAGCCCATAAACGCACAGTTGAGCCGTAAACGCACAGTTGGCCTGTAAACGCACAGTTGGCCTGTTTCAGGCTAAAAACGCACAGTTGAGCCCATAAACGCACAGTTGAGCCGTAAACGCACAGTTGGCCTGTAAACGCACAGTTGGCCTGTTTCAGGCTAAAAACGCACAGTTGAGCCCATAAACGCACAGTTGGCCTGTAAACGCACAGTTGGCCTGTTTCAGGCTAAAAACGCACAGTTGAGCCCATAAACGCACAATTGGCCTGTAAACGCACAGTTGGCCTGTTTAAAGGCTGAAAACGCACAGTTGTGCTGTTTTAGCGATTAACTCTGCGTTTTGATGTTGAAAACGCAGAGTTAAGCCTGGGCGTTTTGACTCTGTAACGCAATCTTTTGTTTGTAGGAAATTTGAAGTAAAAAGACAATGAAAGAAAAATTTGACTTGTATTCCTCTCAAAATCAATTACAATTTGGATTCCGATTACAAAAGAGAGGAGAATGAATTTGATTCTCCCCTTTATTTAAAACTGGGTTCTTCACGGTGGCGATGAGATGCCTCCCTCGAATGCTCGCGTCGAGTTTGCTTCGACGGGAAAAGACTAACCGGCAACGCGTTTTAGGCGTAGGCTTATCTCTAATTAGGGATCGAGATAAAGTCCCCCAGGCATGAATCCTGGTGTCTTTTTCACGGCGAAAGATTAACCGGCAACGCGTGTTAGGCGTAGACTTATCTCTTATTAGGGATCGAGATAAAGTCCCCCATGCGTGTGAGGCATGGATTTTGATGTCCTTTTCACGGTAAAAGACTAACCGGCAACGCGTGTTAGGCGTAGACTTATCTCTATTTAGGGATCAAGATAAAGTCCCCCATGCGTGTGAGGCATGGATTTTGATGTCCTTTTCACGGTAAAAGACTAACCGGCAACGTGTGTTAGACATTGACTTATCCCTACTTAGGATTCAGGATAAAATTCCCCATGCGTGTAAGGCATGGATTTTGGCGTTATTAATAACGACCTGCTACGATATTGAATACGTAGGCTTTGCTATTATTGCGGGAATAGGCTACCCGGCAGCATGTGTTAGATGCAGACTTATCTCTAATTAGGGATCGAGATAAAGTCCCCCATGCGTGTGAGGCATGGATTTTGATGTCCTTTTCACGGTAAAAGACTAACCGGCAACGTGTGTTAGACATTGACTTATCTCTACTTAGGATTCAGGATAAAATTCCCCATGCGTGTAAGGCATGGATTTTGGCGTTATTAATAACGACCTGCTACGATATTGAATACGTAGGCTTTGCTATTATTACGGGAATAGGCTACCCGGCAACATGTGTTAGACATTGACTTATCCTTACTTAGGATTCAGGATAAAATTCCCCATGCGTGTAAGGCATGGATTTTGGCGTTATTAATAACGACCTACTACGTGGATTTTTGGTGTTATTTCTTCCTGTGTAGCTTGAAACACCGAAAGAATTAACAAGTTCATTGGGGGGTTGACTGTTAGAGGTGTTATGTTAACATAACAGTATTTTATGGACCTATCGCTCTATTGAAGAGAGTCGATAAGTTGATTTGGTCGTCAGAGGTGTGGTGTTAACTTGACGAGTTTGTGGACCTATCGCTCCATTGAAGAGAGTCGATAAGCGGATTTTGTCAGAGGTGTAGTGTTAACGTGACAAGAAAGATATTGCTATGGAAGCAATTTTGAGAACTTATCGCTCTATTGGAGAGAGTCGATAAGTGGATTTTTGTCAGAGGTGTAGTGTTAACGTGACAGGATTTGTGTTGCAATTGGAGCAACTTTGGGGACTTATCATCCTATTGACGAGGATTGATAAATGGGTTTTGTCAGAGGTGTATTGTTAACGTGACAAGAATTTGTGTTGCGATCGGAACAACTTTGGGGACTTATCATCCTATTGACGAGGATTGATAAGTGGGTTTTGTCAGAGGT